CAGAGGCCTGTGTAGGAAGATCTGGGCCACTGGGCTTGACCTCCCCCAGTAGTCTGCTGTGAATATACTGTGTATACAAAGAGAGATATGAAAAATTGTACTCTATATGTGCAGTAAGAATTGTAATGCATTTCGCTGTCATATAAAATAAAAAAAATTTAAAGAAGGAAAGATATAGAAAGAAAGAGCTGTGTGAAGGGGAGAAAGAGGGAATATAGAAAGGAAAGAAGAAAGGGAAAAGAAAAAAATTCAAAAAATTAAAGATGGAAAATAATAAAGATGTCTTCTCATTCCCATATCTTATTCTTGGGGATACAAAAGTATTTCTGATAAGTAGAAAGAATTATTAGAAGTTGAAAAGTGTGGAAAGGAAAGAGAATGCCAAGTGATGAAAGAATGAAAGGTGGAAAGAGAAATGAGTTTGTAACAATTTCAGTAGGACCAAGACTAAAAATAACAATGCTGTAATAACAATATCATAGCAAACAAGCTTACTGAGATTTTATCATGTTCATACACTAGAATAACAGCTTTACTTGCATTAACTTGTTTAATCATGATAATTTTATGACATAAGCATTACTTTATTACTTTAGTTCATAGATAAGTTAAATTTACAAAGGCCAATTTCCAGGGTTACACAACTGATAAATGGAAAGGTCAAGATTTAAAACTAGCTTGTCTTAATCTTTAGGTCATGTTCTGAACCATTACATTTTAGCATTTGTAACCTTGAATCAAGTGTGAAGTTAAAATGATTTCTCTCTCAACTCTTTAGAGCATCAGCTCTATATTATCACCAACTATATAATCCATCTTCTCTTCTAATCTGATTCTAATTCTCAAGCACATCTAGTTAGTGTTTTGTAATCCTTGTAAATTTTCCTTTTTTGTTTGTTTTTGAAAACTGTTCTCTGGTAATGAAAGAGCTCTTTATTCTCTCCTTCCTATACTCTCTACCCCATCTTTTATATCAATTGATGGTATCTGTATTTTCAATATCTCTCTTGGTACCTTGTCAGCTATCAAGGATCCAGTTTTCCAGACCAGATAATTCAGACAGCGTTAGCCAGGACATTGTTTGGGGATGACATCTGTTCTGCTCAGAATCTCTGGTAAATCAGTAAATATGTTGTGTGCCATTCCTCAAAATATCATTGATTTATTGGAAACTCCCAAATTTCTCTGGTATTTTGCTTCTCACACCTATCTCTTAAGTTGTTTTTGTATTCCCATGTAGGTTTAAAAGTGGACGCTCAAACTCAGGATTTTTTGTTCCTGTGACCAATCTATCTTTAAATTGCACTGAAAGTGACATGGGCATTGCCATTTTCTACTCACCCAACCTTTAAATAACAGAGTCCCATTTAACTCCATTTTTTTCTCCTCAGATATCTACTTAGCTACCATTTCAATCTTCACCAGATTTATTGCATCTCTCTTCTCTGTATAAGTTAATTATTACTTAATAACAATATCTCATGTCTTATAATTGTATGGGTGGAACAGATGGCCCTTCTGCTGGTTCAGCCCTGGAGCATTATTCATCTACTGTTAGCTAGTGGGTCAAAACTCAGATGATTGAAATGGCTAAGGACAACCAGACTTCTTTACCTATCCATTCATTCCAACTCTGCACACAGCACAATAGACTCTGATTTTGATAAGATTAAGCCTCATGCAGGTCCTAATAAAATTTTTGCGTGTTTCTTGTTGACTGACATTTCACTCTATAAGGAAAATCACACACTGAGTAAATCAGTCCCATAGACTATATAGGAAGAGAGTCCACATAGGTATGGCCATTGGAAAATGTTATTCATAGGGTAGCCCTTATTGCAACAATCTGCAGTACTCTCCTAATTCTCATTCTTATTGCTATAATCCTAGTTCAGATTTTCATGACTGCCTGTTTAATAATCTGCAGGACTTCTATTGTTTCTTCCCAGCTACCTGTGCCTTCTAATGCATCTGTTATACTTAAAAAGTTCTAATCAAGTTCCTTTCCTGTCTAAAGCAAACAATCAGTATCTTGGTATAGGCTTCCAAGAAAAGTGTTTCTTTCTTCTGACTTTGAGCATTCTCAATACATCTTTACCACCTTGATGTCCATGGTTCTCCTACACCTCAACTTATGGTTTTAAAGCATTTCTTTCCTCCTTCCCCTTACTCACATTTGATAATTCTATTTTTCTTACTAAAATGGAATTTTACCTGATCTTTTTTCATTAAAATCAAACTCATTCTTCGAATCAATTTCATCTTCCCCTATTCATGTCAGAAATTAATTACTTTTTGTGTCAATAAAATCTTAACACACTTTACTCATGACTCCCTTACCACAATGATCTGACCCTTCACTTTACTATTGTTGGCTTTTTTGTGTGGCTGTATCCCTTCTCATACTTAACCTCTAAAATAATTCTACTAGGATCTGACATATCATATATGTAATTTAACATTTTTAATGACCATTTGTAAAGAAGCAAAAAATGAACTGAGGTTATTTATGTTAATAATAGATTTTTATTTATCTTAATTTCTCTCAGAATATTAATTAATCAAGTAAAAACAATTATTCATTTTCATGTTCTGGTTTTATATTAACTCTGAAATACAAATTGTATTTTATACTTAGAGCATATCTCTGTTCAAATTAGCAACATTTCAACTGTTCCATAGATAATTCTTGCTCGTGGCTACTTTAGTGACATTCCAAATTTAGAAATATGGAAGAAATGTTGATGTAACACAGAAAATATCACTTCATAGTCAGACTTTTTATATTCTGCCCTGTCACTTACTACAGAAGTTTGGGCAAATTGCTTAGTCTCTCTGGGCCTTAGTTTCTTCATGTATATGAAATTTTTGAAAAGACAAGGGTTGAAGTATTACACAATTTCTGACATGGTATTCATTTATTTATAAAATGAAGACATAACACATACTAATCTCAATGTCTTGCACGATATGGAACTTAGAGTATATGTTAAATAGCCATTTATTGAGCGCATTAGACATACTAATCATTTGCTAGGTTCTAGGAATATTGCATATGATGTCTGCCTTTTAAAAGCTTAGTCCAGAATGGTGAACATGTAAATATTTAATTATTTATAACACATTTACAATATAAATGATATGTATAATAATTTGAAAAGCTGTTACCCGGCAGAGGAGTTATAAACTATGCCTAGGAATATGAGTGTAGGCTTTATGAAGATGTTGCTTCAACTCAATATATGCCAGGTACACAACAATGGTAGAAGAGGATCATAGGAAGAATACCAGGAGGTATGAACTTACATGTAAGACACATGGAACTTTGATTGTCCACATGGTTGGTCCCAGGAAAGACCAAAGGAGAGTCCGGTGAATACTAGAGAAATAATTAGGTAATAATTGGAATAACAACTCTTCCCCAGAGATAGTACTTCCTCATTTTCCCTCATCTTGATAAATGATATCATTGCCAAATATCTATATCTTTAGTGTCTGCATTTCATAATTCTTTAGATTTAATATATCCATAAACCTGTTGCCTCTCACCTTTGAAACATCCTCTCTATGCCCTAGTCAAAGTCACCCACTTCTTTTCTGGGCTACTATAAAAAGCCTCTAACTTATCTTCCTTTTTTCATTCTTATACTCCAATTTCTGATTTCCTCCAAGAGGCAATGATGATTTCCTTTTAAAGTACAGCATGCTCTTTCACCACTCTTTACAGCATCACTACCTCTCTTTCTTGATTCATTCTAAGATCTGACCTACCTATCTATCTTCAATTCATTTGCTTTTCCATTTATCACACATGCTTTAGCCTTGCTAACTTAAAAAAAAAGATCCTCGAGTATTCCAAGCTTTTTTTGCCCATCAGTTTTTGCTTTCTCTTCTATCTAGATTGGACTTTTTCTTGTCTTCAAATGACTACTGATTTTTAATTCTTTAATTCACAGCTAAAATCACTCCCTCAGTAATGTTTCACTGACCATCCAGTCTGAAATACTCTGATAGTGATGTTACTCTCTATTTTATTATGCTGTTACTTCATAGTAGTTTTTATTGAAACCTGAAATTATTTATCATCACTGTTATTCTCATTACTGATATTATATTTACTTGCATGTTTTGTTTTTCTTCCACTAGAATGTAAGCTCTCTTGGAATAGAAAAATGACTGTCTTGCTCATCATTATATCCCTTATATCATCCTTAATATTTGGCAAAGGAGAACACTCAATCCTTCTTGAAAGGATGGATAATATTTTCCCACCTATACTATTAATTAAGGAGGAAAAGTATGTGCATTCTTTGATTTAGTGTTTTATTAGACATGAAAGATATTTGGCTATGGGGATAAAATCATAATCACCACAAATTCTGCTATTCCAGCATAAATCCTACTATTCTAGCACAAAATCTACTCTCTAGCCATATTATTAAGCACTTGAATTGATGAGTGGGGGCGTCCTAATTCTCTAATTCATGGGCATTTAAATTTCAAGTAGTTTTTAAAATTTTAATGCAGAAATGTAAATAACTAAAAATTGGTGTGTGGGAAGGAGTAGAAGAAAATTAATGTCTTGTTTCTTTTTGGAAATTGAAATATTACAAACATTGCAGATAAATAGTTCAAACAACATTTTGAGTATAAGTTGAGTTGTGTCTAATTGTAACTTTCTATTAGTGAAGCACATCAGAAATAAGATCTACTTCTAGGTAAATAATACATGAATGAGGACTGTTTACATATGCCACATGCCAGATATTTGAAAAGACTAATATTCCTTTAATAAGAACAACATTAAGTTCTAAAAGGTCATTTAAGATTATTTTCTTGGGAGATTTTATGAATGTTCTTCACCTGTTAACATTATTATTGATAATCTTTTTCACATTCCAGTGTTTGTACTCTAAATATTTATTCATGTTAACGTTTACTTTGTCAAATGTGTTCTTTTACAGGAATATAAATAGCTGCTAGAAAGAACAGTGGCAGCTTCAGAGCAAAATGAAGTTATTTTTGCTGCTTTCAGCCCTTGGGCTCTGTTGGGCTCAGTATTCCCCAAACACTCAACAGGGAAGGACCTCTATGGTCCACTTGTTTGAGTGGCGCTGGGTTGATATTGCTCAGGAATGTGAGCGATACTTAGCTCCCAATGGATTTGGAGGAGTTCAGGTAAGGATTGTTCACATCATAAATTGCAACATTTACTTGAGCTTATGATAAATGCTATAATAAAATGGCAACCCGTTTCTGTGAAACTGAGATAATATTTTACTTAACATATAAGCCCTCTGAAACAGTTTTCTGAGGAAGAAAAAATTTAGTATTGGTGGCAACTTTATATTTTGTTTCAGGATAACAGCAGGCCATCTTTAATGGGCTGTTAATATTTTAGAGTGATTATAAAGTATTGTAGCTGCATGTACAAAGATTCAGCAATAATTTTAGGTTATTAATTTGTTTTAGAGGTTTTAATGATATAAAATAAGCTATAATTTGATACTTATTTAGATTGCTTTGTTTGTAGATCTCACCACCCAATGAAAATATTGTTGTTAACAACCCTTCAAGACCTTGGTGGGAAAGATACCAACCAATTAGCTATAAAATATGCACAAGATCTGGAAATGAAAATGAGTTCAGAGACATGGTGATAAGGTGTAACAATGTTGGTGTAAGTGAATTTAAGTTTCCTTTAAAAATATTATATAGGAAGATAATTTCTTCTTTTTCTTTCTCTTCTTGAGCAGAAAGTTTCTGGGGCTTGATTTTTTAAAATTTTATTTCATACTTGAGCTATAACTCAAAAGGAACTATTGCTTTATGTTCAACCTTTATAAATCCTTATTTTTGTGCCATTCATCTACTAAAGAAAAGACCATTTAGTTCAAAGAAGAGTTTATTTGTAAAGCAATGCATCAACTTTAAAACTTTATAACTAAATACATTTCTTATTAAGCATTAGAAATTCCAATTACAATAATTGCTGTGATTTTTATGTGATTTATCTATAAGTAAATTCCTGAGTACTCTTCTCCATCATTTTTTAAAATAAAAAATAGCCATTTTCTCTTTAGAGTGAGTAGTGTAATGATAGGCAATATCTATCTTCCTTTCTTCAGATACTAAGCAGAGAGTAAAGGCTAATCGTTTCTTTTTCCTTATGATCCACTGAAATTTCAAAAATTAATAATTTCTTCTGTCTCAACTGATTGTTACCTCCTCAAAAATGACTTTCTTAATAATTATCATAGTTTCTGCTTTTCTCAATTCATCATTTATGTAAATATATGACCAGACAACTAGAATAGATATCACTCTTCATTTCACATTAGTTTCCTTTCATGCTTCACTTTTTAATCTTATTGGAAAATTAAGTTATACAATAATTATGAAATATTTTATATTTTAATGAATACTCTGTAAAGTTTAATCAATAATGTGTCATATTTTTACCTAAAATCAAACTGAAGTAAACCCTTTGCTTTTCAGGTCCGAATTTATGTGGATGCTGTAATTAATCATATGTGTGGTGAAGGGGGAGGTGCAGGAACAAGCAGTACTTGTGGAAGTTACTTCAATGCTGGAAATAGGGAATTTCCAGCAGTCCCATACTCTGGTTGGGATTTTAATGATGGTAAATGTAAAACCTCAAGTGGCGGCATTGAGAGCTATAATGATGCTTATCAGGTAATTTTCTTTTTAAAATAATGATCTGAATAAAGAACTACCTATGCCTTTAATTATGCACATGTAACTTACTTAAACACTGATTTTAAACACTAGTTTATATTCCTAGGTAAAATAACTAACCATGACTGCATAAAAATAAAAAAACTCAATAATCAAAAGCATTTTGCAGTCATGATACTAGTTATAGAACTCAGTGATAGTATGTGTAAGGCACTGGGTTCACTCCTCAATCCCCAAAGGATAAATAAATAAATAAATAAATTCCTCCAGTCAACTAAAAAGCTCATCTACTCATCAACTCATTTTCTACCTTCTCCATTTTTATGCTAGAAAATATTTCAAAGTGCACCACAGAATAATGCCAATATTCCCAATGCCCAATTTAAAAAATGAACTATGGAAATATCTGTTGATGAATAAATGAATGAATAAATGATCAAACAGATTCTCAGGTGAAAGATGATATTTTTAAAAAACACAAAATTTTTACCTCAACAGGTCAGAGATTGTCGTCTGGTTGGTCTTCTTGATCTTGCCCTGGAGAAAGATTATGTGCGCACCCAAATTGCCAATTATATGAACCATCTCATTGATATTGGTGTAGCAGGGTTCAGACTGGATGCTTCTAAACATATGTGGCCTGGAGACATAAAGGCAGTTTTGGATAAACTACATAATCTAAACACAAAATGGTTCCCTGGAGGAAGCAGGCCTTTCATTTTCCAGGAGGTACATTCATCTATATATGTGCATAAAAACTGCATCATTTCATTCACTAGAAAATAAATGGCAGATTTAATTCAATAAGAAATTTCTGTAGGTTAATGGCTGAGTCATTAATATACTGTAGTATTCTTAAAATTTTTATTCAGAAATAACACATTTAATTCTAGAGGTAGAGGATGCTATCATTTATAAAGTACCTACAATTTGGCCATAACTATGGAATAAGTATGCATTTTCTCAATTCATTAATTTGAAACATTAATTCAAAGTATGTTATTTGGAATTACAGGAAATTTATTTAGGCTACAAATTCCTGATATTTATTACATTTCAGAGACCATTGTACAAGATCAAAAATAAAATAGTTGTTGTTTAAGCCATTCTGAGTTTGGGTCTTCACTATACCACTATTGGCTGTCTTAAGTTTTTAATCAAACTGATTTTCCTTTCTGTGAAAAAAAAATTTATGTAAACAAAAGGACTAATGATAATGTTTATGTTTTTGTTCTGTTTGGAAAATTAATTAGTAATTAATGAATTAGTAATTATCAAGCATTGATAAATATCGATAAGGTAGTAGGTTCTATGATAGTGTGAGCTTTTTTTTATAATTTATGTGCAAGACTAAATGAGATCAAGATTTTCACAGGTTACCTTGTCAAGAGATTTCTTTCAATGTTGTGACATATATTTTATCAAAACAAAATAAGAATCTCAGTGTGATGAAAGCAGTTTTAAGCATTTCAAATAACAAATGTTTTAAAGCTATTTTATATTAATTTTTTCATTAAAATACTTTAAAAGTTTTCTACACTACATTTATATTTTACACTGTTTTTCAACCAGGTGATTGATCTGGGTGGTGAGGCAATTACAAGTAGTGAGTACTTTGGAAATGGCCGTGTGACAGAATTCAAGTATGGTGCAAAACTGGGCACAGTTATTCGCAGATGGAATGGAGAGAAGATGGCTTACTTAAAGTAAATATAATTTGTCATTTATAGTATTTTACAGATCTATTAGACATACTACTCCAGTATGAGTTATTGTCTTAGAACCTTCTTAGATAATCAAGAAGTAGATTATTAATAAATGTTATTCTTCCTCAAACCACAATTAATCATCTTTTTAATTTAAAATATCAGTCACAAGGAAGTATTCTGGAAACCAAAACATCACCTAAATATTTTCATCTATCTTTTATTTGAGTACACTATATTTGAGTTACATTTCTTGTTAAAGCCAGGTTATTTTTAAGAGGATGCTACCATTTATAAAGTGACTACAATTTGGCCATAACTATGGAATAAGTATGCATTTTCTCAACTCATTAATTTGAAACATTAAGGTGTTCATTCTAAAGGAATACAGTGTTGAAGCCTCATTTTAACCAAGTTTGTCTTTCTGTATAATGTGATATGAATATTACCCTTTCAGAAATCCACATATCATGCATATATTGAAACCTTTAAAAGAAACTTTTGTATGACAAAAATCTTGCTTATGAAAGGATACAAGTAATCGTACATATATACAAACACATAATGAATTTATAGTTTTGTTAATTTAAAAAACACTAAATTCTATGGAATAATTAGAGAGTTTGTGTAAGTATGCTATATAAAAAGAGATGCAGATTTAGGTTACCCTAAACCTATTGTAAAAGAATGAAAATATTTATTTTTTTAATAGGAACTGGGGAGAAGGTTGGGGTTTCATGCCCTCAGACAGAGCTCTAGTCTTTGTGGATAACCATGACAACCAA